CCACTGAACAACAAACAGCAGGTTTGATGTCTTGGTTGGGGGTACGCAGACAGTCTCCTACAACAGCAGCAGTCATCACTCTCACCTCTTCCACCAATGCCTAAGGCTGTTTTACCACCAATGGGCCACAATCACCGCAGACAAGTGGGTGTTGGAAATAGTTCAATCTGGATATTCCATACCCCTCCTCATTATTCCCCCCACTACTCCCGCCCCTGTCCAGGGCTGGCTTTAGGAAGTGCGGGGCCCAGTTCAAACGGTTTTGGCGGGGCCCCCCACCCAGGATTTTTTGTTGAGCAAAAAGAAAACCACCCACACAAACCACAACCACACACAAATATTACATCAGAAGTAGATCTGATCAAAATGTATACCAATGTAGTTGAACATTTAAAAAAAATACCATCCTTTATTATGCAAAATTTTACACAAAATTAAATCAGTTGCCTTAAGTGTAGGTCAAATATTTTCAATTGCAAACTATCCAATTTTTTCAATAAAGTTTAATTTTTAAAAAGTTACCAGGGAGCGTTGCAGTTTTCTGTTACAATGATTTACTTTTTAAATAGCAAAAATTCAGTCTTTGTTAAGAAAGTGTTAGTTCTGTGGTCAAATTCCAGTCCTTGATTTCACTAGGTAATATGGTACCTCACCACACCATTGCCTCCTTTGCACTGCCCTTCAACACATTGCCTGCATGTTGAGTCTAAGGTCAGTCTACACAAGATTTTATCAATGATTTTTGCTCAAGCGATCACTGAGACAAGACAAGGACTCTCACTTGATTCTAGTCAGCTCTTCCTTTAAACACTGGGGCTGCATCTAGACTGTCATGATTTTCTGCAAATGCTTTTAACGGAAAAGTTTTCCGTTAAAAGCATTTGCAGAAAAGAGCGTCTAGATTGGCACAGACACTTTTCTGCAAAAGCACTTTTTGTGGATAAGCGTCCGTGCCAATCTAGACGTGCTTTTGCGCAAAAAAAGCCCCGATCGCCATTTTCGCGATCAGGGTTTTTTTGTGCAAAACAAATCTGAGCTGTCTACACTGGCCCTTTTGTGCAAAAGCTTTTGCGCAAAATGACTTTTGCCTGAATGGGAGCAGCATAGTATTTCCGCAAGAAGCACTGATTTCAGACAGTAGGAAGTCAGTGTTCTTGCAGAAATTCAAGCGGCCAGTGTAGACAGCTGGCAAGTTTTTCCGCAAAAGCAACTAGACACAGCCATAGACTATTAGCTATCCTGGGGTAGATTATTCTCAGTCTTTCCTGCTGCAGCTATTCCATTTA